AGTGGCCAGATTTATAGATATTCATCCCTGAAATGCTCCCCCCAAATTTCAAGGATTGTACACTATTTGACACTGTTAAATATTTTTAACTGTTAAATACATTTTCAACTGTTTTTAAATAAAATCCTTAAATGAGTTCTTCCTTAAGCACTCTTGTATCTGTGGATTTACAGAAGCCTTGAGGAAGACAAAGGTCATTATTCCCATCTTATGAGTGGGAAAAGCACAACAGGAGTGGGGGTAATGATTTGCCCACAACCATAAGCAGGTCAATGCTGAAGCCAGAAAAAGAAACGTTTTCAGGCTACTGTTTTATCCTCTGGGTCCCCCTGTCTTACACTTACCAAGCCCATCTTGTTTATAGTAAAGAAATTAAACTCAAAGAATAAAACAATCAGTGTTAAATATTTGACATCTCTCTCTTTCAATACTGTGCTTTGTAGATGAGGACAGGGAGACAGATGTGTTTATAATGTTCAATCTGTTGAACCTGAAAATAAAGTGTAGGCTGCTTAACCTAAATATAGTCATCAACTCATGGAGTTGCCACCGTATTCAGAGTATCTGCCATTCAGCACTAGAAAAGATTTTGTAAAGCAAAATTCTGCTGAATGTGCTCATAAATATTAGAATATTCTTGATATGCTATGCTGAAAACATTCAATCTGAGCTGCGAGCAACTAGCATTGCATATCAATTTTTGGAAAATGCTGGTATTTGTATCCAGAGATACTACCAGCAATACAAAGTGGCAAGATACTGAAACTGGCATTACAATGCCTTACACAATTATTTTGGGTCAAAGTATCCCATTGTACATAAATTCACATAATGAAGTTCAGTACAAAGCAAACTAACAATGGACTTGGCACAGAGAAACAGATCAGCAGCTGCATTGGGAATTCAATGGAGAAAACGATTTTAATGCTCAATGTGTACATAAAATTGTCTCTGAAACTTGCTAAAAAATGCAAATAATATACATTAAAATTAAAATTTCTTGAAAGAAAATTCAAGCTTGCTTAAAATATAAACTGATTTCAGAATGAAGGGTTTTTAAGAGCTGTGATTAGCTGATGAGAGGTGTTTTAGATGATACAGGAGCTATGATGGCACTATATCATTATTGCCTTGCTTTCTTTTTTCCCCCCACACTGGCAGTTATAGTTGAGATACATGACTTTTTATAAAATCTTTTGGAGATACGCTAAGAAGTCAGCAAATGACAGAAAACTTGTCTTGCTCTGTGGCAGGAGGAAAAACAGAGCACATTATGATAATGCAGAGCAATGCAGGCATTATACAATACAAACAATGCTACACAGTATCATTTAAAGAAAACACAAAGCAGTCATTGATTTTTAATATCTGCATTAAAGGTCTCCATTCTAAGTAATTACATTTTGTAGGAAATATCTTTAAATGGTGTTGTGCCTATTTACAAGGAATTAGGAGAATATTATACAAACAAGCGCAGGAAAAACATTTTGCTGTGACCATTTTTTCAAATATAATTCCTCCCCTAATACTTAAACCAGACGTTACTACAGCTGCTACAAATACTGATTACAAGAGGGGGGTTGGTTTGTTTGCATTTTAAAAACAAATCTTCAGAGATTTTCTTCCCTTCCCTTTAGGGTGAAAAATTGGCCAAACTCTCTCATCTTTTTAGCATTTCAAAAGCCTGCTTCCATGCAAATGTACCCACCTGAATGCTTACTCTGGAGACCAGGTGAGGGGCAGGCAGAGGGTTTTCAGAAGAGGGGAACGAGCATGTATGCCACACAATATCCACATGCTAAAGGACAAGACTATTTTTGGACCTGGGGAAACCACTGGCAAAGTCTACCTTTGGATGCAAACTTTATTCGTGGATCAAGCAGCTGTCAGGTGAGATGAAGCAGATGATGATGTTCTCTAACCAGCCTTTATCTCTAGGGTGAAGCCTGCCTTAACACCTGGAGCAGTACAAAGACTCCCATGAGGTGTCTTGCTTCCTCATCAAAATGACTGTCCTGTCCCATGGAACAGCTCCTTTTTAACTGTACCACCAGTCCATTCAGGCAGTTTCCAGGTATTGCTGAAGATGGCAACACTTGTGGTTTTGTAGGGCAAAGTCTGACTTGCTCAAGAGAACAACATCGGAGGCAGGGCAAGAGAGGAGGGGGAAGCCCCTCACAAAACGGGAGCTAGGTGGTTGGAAGAGAAAAATCTCCTTGCAAGATCAAAGGTACACCCCCACAAGTTTCCATAAACAGTCAGTTTTGAACCCTGCTTGCTCTCCCTCAGCATCTGAATAAGGCTGAAAGTGTGGACCGAGATCCATCACTGGCTCTGTAGGACCATCAAGCCTAACACTTGTGCTCTTTGCCATAGGACAGGAAGAAGTTGAGGAGCCTATTAACCTTCTGGCAACATCAAACCCTGTTGCCCTCAATAACACAACAATCCCTGCTTTGCAGCAGGTGTTCAGTGATGCCTGCAAAGTAGCTCTGGGACACAAAGCATTACAGGGACCTCTACTACAAAGAAAATCCACCAAAAAACCCACCCCAAAACAAAAAACCCCCCACAATGATGGCTGCTCTTGTTTTGTACATCTTCCAGCTCTACAAAACCACACAGAGGATAACTACCTGGAAGTCCACTGTCAACACTGGTCCACTGAGAATGCAGAGTAACTTCCACCTTAACCAGCTATCTCAAATCACTTCTCAAAGCTGCAGCCAATGGCCTGCATTTGACCTCCTACATTTATACTCTGATATACTCTACATCTCAAACTTTTAATTAAGAAAAAAAAAAAAAAAAGAAGTTAATCCAAATCAATTCAAATGTACCGTTTCTCCCAATTACTGTGGAATGCAGAGGGCATCATCATATTGCATCATTACATTGAGGAATAATCTAGCATGAAGTCCTATAAATTAGCTTAAATAGCTTGTGTGTTTTCATCCATAACAGCATATTTCATAAAGATCTACCACTGCTTTTCTGTGTACAAGGATCTAAACAGGCACATTACATCCATTTTATATGAACTTTAATGAGAAAAGGCTGATATGAACCCCCCTCCACCTATCTATGAAATTTAAACATTATGCCGCAGAAGAAAAAAAGAGATCTTATTTGGTGGCTGCACATTAGGCCCTGATGCTTTAGATTGCCTTTTTTGAGGAATGCACCATATTGCTGACATTTCTATTCAAAACAAGCTTGTGTTTTATAGAAAAGGGTTCAACATTTACAGTGACATGTATAAGAACAGCACAGACAGAAAACTCTAAAATGTAATTTACAACTCAGTCTAAGGAACCATCCATTTTAATAGAAGTAATAACTGCTTGAGAAGAACAATCCAATCCCTAGATTTTTATCAAAGGATATTAGTTTAGGATACTTTATATCAAAGCCCACATACCTGAGGTACTTCTATGTCCTGACAGTGGATCACCTTTCCAAAAAAACCCACCATAATGCACCTACATGCTATAAACAAGTAAGAATTTTTCTGGAACCTATGTTACATGCCGTGTTCTTTACAAAAAATAAAATAAAATTAAAGAGAGAGCTCCATCAGTTTTGTTTTGGATCACTGGTGAGTGCATACATAATGACTTTCACCTCTTGAAACCTCTCCGCTTCGTTCTTATGCATAGACTTGAAGGGACATTTATGTGTTTGGCTTGTTGCATCAATTCAGAGGACAGAGTTACTGTAAATATTTACATTACTGCAGGCTTATAGTGATGAAGCAGGCAAGCACAAGAAATAAGGTTTTATTGCATTTATTTTAGATTTGATGGAAAAGAAAAGTGTAGTCATTTGGTACGACAATAGCCACCATGAAATTTGATTTGTTTATCGATTAAATTACATTTGATTTAAGCAGAAATTTTTTTTAAAAAGTTGACATTTCAAGATAAATCACAAATTTGACCTATCCATCCAGATGGTGTTTCTCCTGAATTGATCATGTATTTCAATTTGCTGTACCCACTTTAGTTTATAGTTGTGACATATGCAATGCACCAAGGACACTTACTGAACCTCAAAGTTAATTTGAGTAAAACAGTATTTTAGATACTACTCTCCACACCAAACTCTATTAAAAATGGGAAAAAAACAATTTTCATTTCTCCTATAATGCATAAACTTGCCTGTAACAAAGATGGCACTTTAAATAAAGTGGATTTACAGAATTCTTTAATAAATAAATATTTCTTAAAATTTCAGTGGGTTTGTTTTACTGTAACTCATTACTCTGTTGAAGGTCTTGGAATCACAGGTGGATCAATCCTTTGGTGCAGATAGGAAGGTGAAGGACAGATTTTTAAGAACCAAGCAGTGCTAATTTTCAACTAAGGGTACAGCTCGCTGGCAGCCTGAGTAGGCTTCTGAGCTTTTCCCCCACTCCTACTAACAGCTTTTTTCCCATCTTTTTGAGGCACAGGCTGAGTTAATTTTGGGCTGGAAGAGTTCCCTGAACCTGCATGCAGGTGCAAAAAAAGAGGACAGCACAGTGCAGGGATAGATTTAGATGGCTGAAAACACTATGGGTCACCTTGGATTGAACTGCACCACGTGTTTCCAATAATCAATATAAGTTTCAAAACCCTGAATTCCCAGACATGTCACTGTTTCTTATACGCAACACTACTTCCATTCATCTGATTTTTCTTGGTTTATTTCTCACCTCTATTATTCCAAAACACTCAAAACAGAAAAATGCTCAGTCCCAAAATCAATTTTAAATGTATATTCTGGGTTCTTATTACTGGGTTTTGTTAGTTTTTAATCTTTTTATGAAGTTATTCAAAGCTGGTAAGAGATTTCAGATTCAGCAGGTTTTCTAAATATTTTTTTTTTTTTTTGGTCTTGGTAAAACTACTGTATTACTAAAGATACCAAACCAAGTTATAACATAGTTGATATAAGACTGCAAATATTTGCCTGCAATGCTAATTATAAATAATAGGAATTAAAATCATTGTCGATACCTGTGGTTAAAGGCAGATGAGTGACACTATTTAGACAGGTGAGAGTGAACCAGGTTGATGCTAACGTTGCTCCAGATAAAAGCAGCAGCAGTATAAACTTCAGCATGCCCCTAATAAAATCTGCAAATCTAAAATAAAAGCACATATCAGAGCAGTACAAATACTGATTTTCGTATTATTTAAATGTGATGCTTGACAATTAATTCAGTATATTCTCATTAAACATTTTGGAGACTATAAAAACAATTTAAAAATCATTTCTCTTTTTCAGAAATAGAAAAAAAAAAAGGCATTTTTATAGAATGGTGATATTTCTAGCTGTCAAGCTGAAGAGCCATCGATTTCTTAGCTGTCACAAAATAACAACCAAACCAGAACAATTCTCAAAGCATCAATTGAAAACACTTGGTACACAGGAAGGGTTTTTTTTCCTTCTGCATTTGTTGGACACAACATCACACCACTACTTACATCGCTGTTTTGTCAGTGTTTGCCAATCTCCCTTGGCAGACACACCACTCCATTAGCATATGAGGAGGCTGCTGCATTTCATTCAAGACATAGTTAGTGTCAAGATTCATCCCTGTGGGAAATGACAAAACTCCAAATACCAGAATCCCTAGATCAAAGATGACAAGGAACAGCTTCTGAACCCTCGGATGCATTGGCGATGAAGTTCTCGATGGCTTAGTCAAAGGAGGAACTCTTTACACAGGCAGTCACTGCCAGTGGCTGTTTTGGGTTGAAATGTTCCAGAAACCAAGAGCTTGGTGCCACTCCTCTCCTACACGTGCCCCACTGACAGTCTAGGGGAGGACAGCCCCACAAGTCACCACCTGATGGTACCATTGCTTTTTTCATCTTTTTTTTTTTTTCTTTCAAGGAGACATAATGCATTTGAGCAGTGCTCACATGGCATAATAACCAGTGCAACTGCTCTTTTCAAAAGGGATTTCAACATAGCTACTAAAAAAGATATATTAGAAAAGGCAATGCAATTTATCCACTAGTAATTTTCTATAATCTCCTGCTTAGGAGATGCGATTTTGGGCCAGATGAGTTAGGTACGTATGTCTGAAGAATGTCTTCTGACCTCATAGCCTCCTACCTCAATTAGGCTAACAGCAGCACCATCCACCCAAGTTGGTCCATGATGAAATCTGTCCTGTCTGTCAGCTAACTGCCTTCTCTCCCCTAGCAAAGACTGCTTTACAGGCAGATACCATATAGCTTACTTGATAGAACAGATAATGCTACCAACATTTTGAGAACTAGGAAGCCTAGCTCTACATGCACCATAAAAGATGTACAAGTAATGCAATAAAAAAAAAAAAACACCCGACTTCTTTCCTCTTATTTTGATTCTCCCTGTGCTTTAATTCCACATTGAATTTAGCAGCGAGTAATTCAATAAGCAGTAGAGGAAGATCAATGCTGCATATAATCTTAAAAGTTTATGACTGCAGTGTTCAAGTGGCTTATGCATTAATCTCTAATAGTCAGAGGTTAGCTGCTACTGTTGTTTTTTTCTGACAATCCAAATCCAGCAATCAGGATCATCTCTTCTTAGTGGTTTGCCAGTTTCTTTAATTATTATTTGGGATCACTGGGGTCAAAATCAGCAATTTTAAAAGCTTCTCAGAAGCATCTTGAAGTGCAAACTTCAGACTTCTTCCACAGAGACTTCCTGCTTTGCCTGCCAGCAAACATCACTATTCCCTCTCCTTACAGGCAAGAGCAGTTACGTATATCTTGTCGAATGAAACTGTGTGAGAAATATCAGCCTTCAGGCAGGCACATTCACAGACAACAGGTCTAGAAGGGATCTCTAGCGAGTCCTCCATCTCTATTCTGCCAACAGGGATATGTGGGGATGGGAGGATGATACACATCTAAACCATTCAAGGTAGTTAAGCGGAGCAAATATCTACCTTTACTGAGCAGTTGCAACTCCTTTTGACACAAAGATCCTGGTTTGGGTATCAGCAGCAGCAGTGTGCTCCAAGGAGCTCTCATATCACAGGGTGCCAGAAGGGTCAAATACAAACTGCAAGGTTTATGGAGCTACTGAATTCAGCCAGCAGCAGAAATAATGGGGGAAAAAAATGACATAGCAAACTAGCCTGAACTTGGTAATCGAGGGACTTCTGCTTCTTGTGTGGTTACAGGAGAATAAAGATGACCGTAAATCTAGTCAACTCCTCAGAATATTTGTTTCAATCAAAAGAAGAGAGAAATTACTTTTATCCTCTGACCCCAGTACCTGCTTTCAAAACCCTCTGTTCTGTTTAAATCCTTCTTCATCATCTAGCATGCAAGGGGATGTCTGCAGCTGCTAAAAAAGTAGGCACGCCACCAGAGAAGGTGTATGCTTACCCAGACACAGACCTCTGAGCCTACTGCTGGTAACGGTGTCCTGCAACCCAGGAAACCCAGCCCTAGGCTGCGTCCTACAGTTAAAATCACAAACTTGCATTGCTGACAACACTGTCTGTTGCTAAGGAAATTATCACCATGTCATAAAGTTTCAGCATTTTGACTACACTGCAGGTTAAAAGCAGGAAGAAAAACTGAGCTGTGGAGGACAAAACCTCAGAATTATCTATGATCATTAGCAAATGTGGCAAAAAAAAAAAATCTGAGAAATGGGAACAGATTTGTGTTTCCATGCAATGATATGAATGTTGCTCTTTGACACTGCTTTTCTTCAAACCAGTATCATTTGAAAGGTGCCAGCAAAGGGTACAGCACCTGCCAGCTGCCCAAAATAGCCCAGGCTTTTCAATTATAAAAATGCATCACACAAATTAGCTAAACATATCTAAGTTCACGGCTAGCGGGACAGCAGTGAGTGGAGAGTGGGAGGATTTATGTATTGTGTTGAGGAAAACTTGCACCATTTTGAAAATGAGATAGATACACAAATTTCCAAACTGGGCATTACTTTAAATATAGATGATTTAACAACTACTGTGATGCGCAGGACCAAATGCTCCAGGGCAAGGTTCAGGTTGTTACAGTTCTAAATGGTAGAATCTGCATTGACAAAAATGGAAGGAGCAAATTCCTAAACTGCACCAATTTTTCTTTGGTAAATTAGCAGGAAAAAAAAAAAAAATAGAAAAAATACCCCAAACCCAACAGCTTCTTGAGAGGTGGTTAAGGGAGAGAGCTGCTTGCTTGGCAAATCACAGTTCTGACATTGAAATACATCAACTTGTCAGCCTTGACAAGAATCATTACTTAATTTTCCTAATTACAACTTTCAGCAGATTACAGTCAGACTCGTCATTGATTCAACCCTACACAGATAAATGCTGAATAGGCCTAGGAGGGAGAGTCATCCATCAGGAGTGACAAATCACCACCTCCCTCCCTTTCTGTGTGCAAACCCTCCCATTTGAACTGTGTATCGCCCAAGTTAGAAAGACATATTTGCAGGCAGACTGTTGGTATTTTTTTAATTTACTCAAAAGCAAAGCTCTGAATGCTACAAAACACTGGTATTCAACACGGTTTGAAATCAGTTTTGAAGCAGTTAAAGAGAATGTCAGCATCTCCTGAAACTTAACCCAGGCCATATACTAAACAAATTAATCTACCATAAAGATTGAGATTTGCATGTTGGCATTGAGTCTGCAGATTCTCTCCTAACAAAGTTAAGTGAGCTGCTAAGGGTGCCCCTCTACTACTGAAATGTCGCAAATACCCAACAGATTAACCCACGATGGAAAGGATTAAACCAGCACGCTACCTGCATCAGCATGTAACCTGCTACAGCATCTGTGTCATTTACAGCCGTTGGTTTTAAACATCTACTTCTCTTAGCTCTCATATCTGAGCTTAGCTAATCAAAACTCTTTTTAGAGGAAATCAGGGTGTGAACCTTGTTTCACTAGGTTAAGCCCTTTGGCCTGCATCTGGAGTGGACAGGAGGGAAGCGCTTGTTTCTTTTCCCTAGGTCAGGAGTTTTTCCCTCTCCTTCCGTCACAGTTGCTAGGCAGCCTGTGAAATGCCAGGATGAGAAACCTCACATTTCTTTATGCATTGTGTACTCTGATGATGCACATCAAGTGAAGGGAAAAAAAAAAAAAAAAGAGAGAGCTTCAATCGCTGCCCTACGAAGATGCCTCTCTGGGTCCACAGAATGACTGCAATGATGACAGATCCCTGCACTTGTGCTAAACTCATTGCAGAACTGGAGTCTAAAGAGTGGACATAAAGAAGCCAGGACAAGGCTTTGATATCCACTAGATGCAAAGGGAGCATGTGATTGGTTTTAATCAGTTTTATACACTCACTGCTCAAGTACCTCCTGAAAGACTTTTTCTTCCTGTCCCCCCCCACCCCCCCTTTTTTGGTTTCTATAAAAAGGGACTCTCAATGAAGAAAAAGCAGCAGCCTTTTGGAAGGGCAATCCATTCCTTGCTTTTCCACTCCCCATGTCATCAGCATTCATGATGGCCAGAGCGCTGTGTCTGGATATTTGAAAACTGTAGGTATAACCATAGCACCCATAGCAGTATCGCAAAAAATAGTTAGGCCATATAGGAATCCAGCAACCTGGCCAGAATGGGCCCAGACTAATTTCTCTGTCGAGGAACATAATGTTATTGTGGGTAGGCTGCTTGTGCTACATTCCCAATATCCCTTCAGGAATCAATATGCCCAAAAGCATTGACGGAAGAGACAGACACTAATTTCTTCAATGCTTTCCAAATGTGCTACAATGGGTTCTCCCTCATACCAGGCAGCTGAACTCACACGAACTGTGTTTAAAAGGAGCATACAGCAGTCACTTGTCAGGAGTAACAACACACTTGTCAGGAGTAACAGTATGACTCGCCAAATTGAGGCACGTGCATGTGGAGTTCTCAACCCCCAGCGACCACTAACATGGAATATACAAATCGTTGCTCTACAAGAGACACATCATAACCCCAGAACTATGCTTTTTCCATTTCAAGTATCTAGAAGATGAGAGAAAACAAGTTATATCATTACAAGGATAAGCTAAACGACAATCACAGTTGAATAAATGGAGAGGAATATGTAATTATTCCTACCTTGCCATTGCTATGCCAACAACACAACCTCCAACTATAGACCAAAATCCAATCCAGCCTGCATCTACCTGACAGGGGAAAAACAAACAAACAAACAAAAAAACACACCACCAAAACAAAACAGAGAAATGTGTTAAAGCTGAGAAAGTAAGATGATAAGATGTTACTTTCAAAACAAATCATGTGCAGGAGCTGCAAACTGCTAGCAACAGCCCCTAACAACAATCTGAAGTGCAAGACTTTTTCTAGGATATTCAAAAGGGAATAAATTCACTAAAAGAAAGTATGATTAAGTAGGCTATGCCCTACATATGACCTTCTCTTTATAGAATCTGAGTAATGTCCTCTGGATTTTTATAATACTCTATCAAAAGCTTAGAAATCCTCTTCTCCCCATTTCATCTTTTCCACCTGGTAACTATTATTTTCTTTTACTAAAGGTGCAGCAGCCAACAATACTTTCATTTGTTAACCTGCCTCTTCCCTCTTGTCAAAAGGTGCGTACAGATCTGAAAATACCAACCGCTGTGGCAGAGG